TTAATCCCCGTACAATAACACATCCGGTAATATATCACATGAAATTTACAACTTGATGTTGGAAGCAATTCACAGCTGGTGTTGGAGTTGTTACATCAAACAGGATTGGTAGCAGCTAACAAAATTTTTGAGACAGAAATCAGCCTATCCATTTTTCTAACAATTTAAATTTTTTAAATAACAATTTAAAAAACTATTGCTAAAGTCTGAAAACTAAGAACTCCAGCAACAATAAATATCAAATATATCACAAAAAAGATGAATTTTTTTTAATTGACCAAAAAAAAAAAGAAAAAAAAAACACAATGGTACAAGTGTAGACAAAATGGATTTCCCATGAACTGTATGTGTTCCATAATATGTTCACGTAAGCTCCAAAACTTCCACCTTTCCCTGGCTGTTGGCAGCAACAATAATATTTGTATTCTGGAAAAAAAAAACGAAACTTTGAGATGCATTTGTTCAAATTATAATCCCAACTTTAGAAAAATGCAAAAAAAAAATCAAATTCCGCTTCTCATTTCTCATCTAAGCTCAACTTCAAATCATTTCTTTCTTTCTCGAAAGATGTATCGGTCTACTGCGAGAAAGTAAATCCGATGGGCTAGGCTCGCCTTGCCTGTTAATAAGTGATATCCATGAGAAAGTAAACGGCCACTCAGGCGCTCCGGAGGCGCATATGCAGTGAACAGGCAGTGGGTATCAAATGAAAGTAGGAAATCCAGGATCAAGGGGACTGACGGATCACAGCGTCCAAATAACATCACCACAGTAATTGTCAAGATGGTCTTGTTATTCCTGATATCGATTTCTAAGGTGATTTCTTATCATCTGATCATGAAATATAAAGAAGCTTAACTTTTTTAACTATCAAGAAAAGGGCCAAAATTGGTCCTAAGGATAAAAGCAGCTAAGCAGCTGAATCAAAACACAGCAGCCAAAAACGGCTTATTTTGCACTAGAAATATGCAGCTTTTCTTATGAAGTGTTTCAGAAATTTTAAAGACGCAAACAATGCATATCTCTGGCTAGGGGACTAGAAAAAGACGGTGAGGCCTGAAGTCTTCTATGTGTTAACATACGCAGTTTGTTTGGCGTTGCTGGCCCACCACCTTGCAGAGGAACACAATCGAATTTTGATAGTTATGGGAAAACTACAAGTGCCATTTAAATCTCCCAGGAAATTAAAAGTGCCAGTTAGATCCCCTTTGCGAACTCGTCAAGCCAAGATCGAGCTACTGCACTGGGTGCTCTCAAGCAAAATCGATGCTCAGCACAAGCAACGGGATC